AAATTGGTTCCTGTCTCGTATGTATGACTCGGCCCCCATGGACTGGCCCCCAACCTGTTCTTCTATGCTAACCAGGCCTAGTGATTATTGCATGGTCCATTTGCAACCCACGAATCTTGTTATTAATATTGGGATATGATTATGGTAGAGATGCATGACGTACCCGCATTATTGTGTGCCGTCAATATCCGGCTAGAATCGGTGGATTTCCTCTGCTGCCGGCCCCCATATTTCCCCATTTGAAATACGATAAGACAATAGACTATACAGTCATCAATTTGACTTATCTAAATCGTGGATGCCACATGCACATCTAATTGAATACTGTGCTTCTCTTTATTCTCGGGGTGCCGCAACTATATTTTGTCCTCTACCTTGGTCACAACAGTTGTTTCCGTATCGATCACCCGGACCGGCGACGGCCGGGCTTAGGGGGTAGGGTGAGTTTGTAAGAGGGTCTTACGTACGTGTCTGGGCTAAATCTTTTTGACTTGGAATCGTTCAAAAAATTTAAGACTGGTTAGTAAGAGTAACAAGATAGAAAGCCCCACCAACTCATCACCAGACTCCCGGTTATAGGCCTACAATGAATTTTTCATCATGAACGTGCAAGTTATTTTGAATTCTGTTGCATGCAAGATTTTCATCTCAATATTAAGACTTCTTGAAAACCCTCTTATATACTTGACAGTGGCAACGGGTAAAAAAATAAGCCTCCAATCACGATTTACTAGCGAAAAAGGCATATATAAGCGTTTTTTGGTGATTTTAGCATTATTTTAGTATGAGGCTCTATTTTTCTAAGACTCTCTCCAGAATAAGGCACATATATGCCTTTAGCTATACATATACATTATATACAGATAATTCTTAAATAAGTCTTTATACCAGATCTGTCTTTTTCATCAATCAAGACTTGCTGGTAGATAAGACTTATGTAACGCTTATTTAAGGCTTTTAAATTCGAATTTTATCGATTATCTTAGCTATATAATAGTTCTAATATCAAAATCTTAATTCTCCTATAGCCTAATGGGTAGATTGAGAGCTTAGGGTATAGTCTACCTGCAATGCTCTGGGTTTAATCCCTTCCCTTTTCGTTTTGTCTTAAACTTGGAGTAAGTCTTAAGCCTAAAATCGATCAAGGCTTACATAAGCCTTAACTCAAATAAGTCTTAAATAAGCCTTAAATTAAATAAGTCTTAAATAAGTCTGAAAAATCAATAATGTTTAATCGCTGGAGTTCTTTTTTTTTTTTTTTTTTTAAATCATAGTTTCATTTATTTCTGGGTAGAAGAATATCGCATGGAGCATAAGCTATGGCGTGAACAACACCCCTCCCCTACCAAACCGCCGAAGAAAACAAGACAAAGGGAAGCGGAACAGAACATATATGAAAGTGTGTACATGAATCAGACGCTATGGAGAGGCCCTGACATTCCTCCAACCGGCCAGCAAACAAAGAAATTCGGACGTCCCCCTCAGGGGCAGTATACTTTCGTACCAGCTATGCATGATATGACAGGACATAGGAGAAGAGAGAATAAGGAGAGCGAAGAGAGGACACTTTCGGTGTTGAGGTTGTTGTGCGTGCAACTGGCTTTTTGGGCCTGTTATGGGCGGAGGTGGCCTAGGCCGAGCTTGATGAGAGGGAGGTGAGTTCGGAGTCTGAGGATAGGTCATAAGGTGGCGATTTTGGTGGGCCCATTTGTGGGGGGAACCCGGTTTTGGTTGCCCTTATGTAGGAGGAGAGAGCTGCGAGTGAGGCGGGGGTGACCAAAGGTCGTCGAGGGTTTTAGCAAAGGGTATGTGGGTTGCCATCTGGGGACTGCGCACGGGGCAGCGTAGGATGGCGTGTTCGAGGTCTTCGTCTTCGAGAAGACATTTGGGGCATGTTGGGGGGAGGTCCTGGGACATCCATGTTGGGTGGGCCGCTAGGTAGCTTTATGAGCGCGCATTTGGCATATGCGTCCTGCGATGAAGCGGTCGAGCTTGAGGTGGGGGTGTGGGCGAGTGTTGATTGGGAATTTGTAGTAGTCTGGTAGGGGGTTATTCTTCCAGATTTGCATGGTGTCTCTTTTGATAGAGAGTGCTAGGCCCGGGTGGATGGTGTTGGGGTTCTGGGCGAAAGTTGATGAGTTGGTGAGCAGTGCGTGGCAGAGGTCATCTATGGGGAGGCGGGCTACACCTTTCCTGGTCGAGTTCCAATTGACGGGGGGGTTTGGGCGGCCTCTTAGTAGGTGTCGGTGAGATGTCTCTCTGTAGGTGGAGAGTGTGTGGAAGGAGTCTGGGGTGCATGCGGTGACTGGGTTGTATGTGGGGGATGCGGCTTGGATTCTCGCGGCGTATCTGATGCGTAGGGAGGGGATGTATAGGGCGAGTGGTGGAAAGGATGTTTCGGCTTATAGTATTGAGAGGGGGGTTGATCTGAAGCAGTTGGTGACCCATCTGAGGACTGAGTGCCAGGTGGTCTCGAGTCTCTTGAGTGCTCGTGCTGTTGGGACGAGGACGGAGGCTCCGTATGTGAGCATGGGGAGGATTGCCATGACTGCTAGTCGTTGGCAATTGAGGGGGGTGAGGCCTTTGCCTGCTGAGGCGAATCCTCTTATAATGGCGAAGGAGGCTTGTGCTGAGGCATACCTTTTAGAGAAGTGGTTGAAGGTGTTGAGGTTGTCGGTGAGCTGGAGGCCCAGCCAGCGGATTTCTCTTTTGGGGTTGAGGGGGTCCGGTTGAGTGTGATGGGGAGCGTGGAGGGAGTACTCCTATCAGCGCTGGTGCGCCAGTGGATGAGGTCTGTTTTGGGGGGGGAGAAGTGAATGTTGCGTGGGGTGCCTGCGTCTGTTGCCTTAGGGAAGGCATTTTCTAGCAGTGCGATGTTCTGTTGGTGGGATGAGGAGGCGACTGTGAAAGCGAAGTCGTCGACATATGAGATGGTGATACCGGGGGTTGGGTCTGTGTGAAGTGGTGCTACGTATATGCAGAATAGGAGAGGTGAGATGGGGGAGCCTTGGGGCACTCCGACAGCTACTGGTAGGGAGGCGCGTGGGCCGCCTGGGAAGAGGAGGGTACATTTGCGGTCCAATAGGAATGAGAGGACCCACTGGACCATGTATGGGGGGGTGTTTTTGCTGCGGAGGGTGTCTGCTAGGACTGAGGGGATGACGTGATCAAAGCCCCCTTTGACGTCCAGAAAGAGGGAGGAGACCTTCAGTCCTCCGCGTTGGAGGAGCCTGACTTCGTGTAGGAGAGTTGTTGTGGCGTCGGCTGTGGACAATCCTTTGATTGAACCGCATTGATGGGGGTGTATTAGGCGTGATGAGGAGGCGAAAGCGTGGAGGCGATACGTCACTATTCGTTCGAGGATTTTTGAAACTGTCTCAAGGAGGACTATGATCCGGTAGGCGGCAGGGGAGTTGTAGTCTGGCTTGTTGGGTTTAGGGAGAATGACACCGAGGGCACTCTTAAGCGCTATCGGATGGTATCCGCTTCTGAGGAGGGGGGTGAGAAGTTGGGGGATGAGGGATGGGTTTCCTTGGTGTATTCGTTTCCAGGCTACGGGAGGGAAAGTGTCCGGTCCTGGTGCTGAGTTGTTTGAGGAGGCGGCTAGCGCTTTGGCTACCTCGTCGGCTGTTACTTCTGGGGCATCCGGGTAGAAGCCCGGTTGGGGGGCTGGGGTGGGGTTTGGTTGGGGGGGGGAAGAAGTGTGATATGAGGGCTTGGTTAACCTCGGCTGGGGAGGAGGCTTTTGGGAACTTGGGGAGTTTAGTCTCCTTATTCCGGGTCGCGGTTTTCCTGAGGGCCCAGACTTGTTGAGAGTCGGCCTCGGCTACAAAGTCGTTCCAGTGTCTCTTTTTGGCTTCCTGGATGGCTGAGAAGTATGTGTTGCGGGCGGCTCTGTATTCAAAGGGGGGTGATAGTCCTTTTCTGTAGGCTCTGGTGACGGAGTTAAAGATTCGTCTGAGTGATGAGAGGTGGGGGGACCACCATGCCTTTGACCATGAGGATGGCCTTTTGGACGGGGTTGTAGCGAGGACTGGTTCGGTGATGGCGGCTAAGGCACTTCCGAACCAGTGGTCGATGGGGTATGAGATCGGGGGGAGACAGGTTTTGCGGAGGGATTCTTGGATTGCGGGCCAGGGGGCCTTTTTCCAGTCAGGGATGTGTGTGGGGTGGGAGGTCATACTGGGGGAGAGAGTGAACTGTAGTTTGATTGGGGTGTGGTCAGGGCCTGCATTGGGGAGCTTGTTGGACCATGAGTGGAAGAGGTTGAGTGCTGGGGGGTTTGCGAAGGCTATGTCGATGACCCCATGTCTCTGCAGAGGGTTGGGGGAGATTCGGGTGATCCTGCCGGGGATGTTGAGCAGAGAGTAGCCGTTAGCGGCGGCTGTGGAGAAGTAGGGGGAGGAGAGTGACTCCTCTCTTCTGTTTATGGTACGGAGGGGGTCGGTGCGGATGTTGTGTATATTAAGGTCTCCGCAGATAATGGAGGGGTTTCTGGTGTTGCGGAATATTGTTTCCAGTAGGATTGATCTTCTGCTGGGTGAGATGTGTCGGTTATAGGCGTTTACTATTTCTAGTTGCGCGGGAAGGGAGGGAGTGTCGGAGTTTCTCCAGTAGATGGCTATGCCGAAGACGTCGCCTCTATCGAAGTTGATGGGGAAGTAGGAGGTGTGCTGAAGGAAATCGAGATGTATGTAGAAGGCGACCGGTACGGGTTCGTCTTCTGATGTTGGAGGGTAAACGCATTCGTAGCCTGGTGCGTTAAGGGAGTGGTTGAGGAGGGTAAAGGGTTCTTGTATTGCGACGATTTGGGGGGGGCGTTGTTTAGAGAATGAAGAAAAGAGTGAAATAAAGACTGCGTTGCTTTTTGCGCAGTTTAGTTGGATTATTGTAAAGAGATTGTTGGAGGGGTCTCCGCTGGATATGTCTGAGCAGTGGGTGGTTGAGAAGGGGGGGAGGAGGGGAGGGAGGAGGATCTAGCTGGCATTACTGCGACATGGTCAAGTCCTCCTCCGCAAGCTCTTCTTGTTGAGGTGCGGGTACTGATGTGGACTGAGGGGTGAGGGATGGAGCGGGGTGGCCGGTGGTAAATTATCAAGGGAGCTCTGGGGGCCGGGAGGGGTGCCTTGGGGGGCGGGCGCTGTAGCAGTGGTGTGGGTGCGGGAGCGCCTAGCGGGGCACTCTCTATAGGAGGCGATGTGATTGCCAGAGCAGTTAATGCATTTGGCGTTCCAGGTGGCGCAGCATTCGATGACGGGTTTAAGGTGGCCTTCTTTGGGGCAGGCTTGGTTGGGGCAGCGATAGTCTTTGCGGAGGTGGTTCCCTGCGCAGAGTGGGCATGTGGGTGAGGATGATTGGCAACCTTCTGTAGCGTGTCCTAGGCGGGCGCACTTACGGCAGAGGGTATTGGGGGATGTTGGCCAAAGTTTATTGCATCGGCGGGAGCGTCCGAATAGGCGGATTTGGTCTCCGATCTTGTCGGTGTCTTCGGCGGGTATGGAGATGACGATTGAGGTGGTGGTTTTCCCGACTCTATTTTCGGGCTTGGGGAGGTATCGGGCTCTGGAGACTAACGCTCCAGTGGTAAGGGCGACGGCTTCGGCGAGGGGTGGGGTGAAGAGGGAATCTGGGACGTCAAGGGCAAAGATGGGGACGTTGTGGATAGCGTAGTTGACATTGGTTGGCGCGAGTTGGAACTCGTTGAGCGGGTTGTCGGTGGCGCTGGAGGCGAGGTTCAGGACTGCGAGGAGCCCGGGGAAGTAGGGAGCAATGTCTTTAGCGGGGTGGAGGGGGAGGCAGTACAGGTAACAGTGCCGTTACGGTTGACCTGGACTTGGAGGGCGGTGTGTGGGTGGGAGAGGTCTGCGTTGGCTAGGACTCTTCCGAGGTCGGAGGGGAGTCTTGCTTCGAGTTGTTGGTGGTTCGGGAAGGGGGCGGGGTTGGATCTGGTCGCGAAGAACCGGCGTTGAGCGGTGGGGAGGTTTGCTGCTGGTTGGGGTGCTGAAGGTTTGCGGGGGCTTGCATTCCGATTGGCGGGGAAGGGGGCGGCAGGGCGGGAGTTGTCCTGGTGTTGTTTGAGTTTTTCGGCGTAGGTGAGGAGGCGTCTATTGCCATTTTGGTCGATGGTTTCAATGGAGTCGTTGAGGTAGAGCTCTGCCCCTTCGGTCGCGGGACCTTGGGGGGAGGGATAGCCGGGGCGGGGCGGGAGGGCTGGCGGGATTGGTGAGTGGGTTGGCGTTGAGGGGGGGACGGGCCTGGGGGGCGGGGGCTGGGGAGTGCTGAGGGATGGAGTTGTTGATGCGTGAGTTGAGGAGGGTGACGTCGGCGGTGTGTCTCGCAGATAGGGTGTGGACTTCTGTGGTGAGTTTCTCGATTTGGGTCGAGAGGCCGAGGAGGAGGGAGATAATGGCTTTGGCTGGGTTCAAGGCGGGGTCTTGGGCGTGGAAGGCGGAAGCGATGTGTTGTAGGAGATCATCTGTGGCAGCGGACTTATCCTCTAGGCCCATTTTGCTGAGGAGTTTATGCTTGTCCACTAGGTAAAGCAGGGGGGCGGCGAAGGCTGCCTTTGCTTGGAGGTATTCTGGGAGGGGGTTGCCTGCCAAAGGGGGGGGAGGGTTGGTACTCATGACTGCAGGGGGGTATTCTGGGCTGTGAAGCCTAATAGTTAGAGACTTTTCTGCCTGTGTAACGTGGTTGCAACGTAAAACTTGGAGGAGATTTCAAAAACTCGGTACAATAGCGCGAAGAAAGGTGATGGCGGGAAGAAAGGTGGTCGCTGGAGTTCGCTGTTAGAGACTTAAAATTAGAATAAGGAATATACTCCCAAAATGGTGATATTTGCCTTATATGAGCCTACCCTAACGATTATTGTTTTTACTGCTTCCCGCAGTCAAGTATTGATCTCATGCGGCTTGGCGCACAACCAGTCACTCGATTCTCTCGAACCAGTATGATTGACGAGACGAAACCAAAGGCTGATCTCGTCGAAAACACCGTAAATGCCGATGAAGAACACCAATATTATACCATTTTAGCTATAGATATCATCTTGCCTTTTGATTGAAGATTTTCCGCCGTAATTCCGCCAGCGGTCAAAGCTTCTTCCAAAAGGATCAAATGATTAACTCGTCAGTATTATCGCCAAGTGTCACGTATAATCATAGATGGTATACCGGTAACTAGTACGAACGATCATTTTCCCCTGTGATATTGAAAATGGCCTTGATTAACAGGCGTCACGTGCACGTCCAATATATAGGCCGATATGACCACGAGCGACGGTTTTCCTTCAGGTAGATGGCAGAGATGACATGTACAGCAAATAGAGTCCAAACCGCTCTTGTAAAGCCCCAAAGAACGTCGTCGATTGGTGGAAGGTAATCTTTTAAATCTTGTTTACTTGAAATAATTAGCGGGGCTTTGATATAAAAATATCGTACAGATTTTCTTCTGTACATACGTAGAGTTGTAGCTCACCCGCGACGGTCAGGCGCGGCGTCGCAACGCCCGCACGCGCCCACAAACCATCATGAATACCACCACAGCAACTCCAATTGATCCTTTGGAGAGCTGGTTTTTTGTATAGTTGTTAAATAGTAGATAAATAAAAATAATTTGACATTCAATATCTTGTGTACCAGCCGCTTGCCTTTATAACAGCCTCAATTCTTCTGGGCATGCTCTCAACCAGCCTACCAAATAACTCATCAGGTAACAGTTCCCAGCAATGAATAAGAGATTCCTCCATGAGGGGTTTAATGACTTTAGGTTATCTAGTATCATATACTAAATGGGGTAGTGCTGATGGTAGAGCCTCTTGAGGTGTACCCAAACATGCTCAATAGAGTTTAAATCAGGTGAATAGGCAGGCCAATCCTCAAGAACTTCAACCCCATGCTGCTCCAACCATTGAGTTGTAAGGCTGGCGGTGTGTACCCTAGCATTATCATGCATGAAGATTGGTATGATACCCTTCTCTTGTAGCTCTGCCAAAAAATCCAGGAGACAGAACTCAAGAGTCCTGATATATGTCTCTGCATCTGTCCTCCCCCCTTCTCCCACCATAACCCCATTACAGGTCCCCTTCAATTCCCCGACAAAGCATGCCCACATCATCTTTGAAACCCCTCCTGACTTCCTGGCACCTTTAACACATTCAGGAAGCCATTTTTCCTTTGCAGTTCTGAATGCCCAAGAGGTATATGGATCTGCATATTTCTCAACACTGCACTCATCACTCCACACCACCCTCTTCTACTTTCTGATATCCCAACCTCTGTGTGCAATGCACCACTGTAGTTTTATCCTTGCATCATATGGGGTCAGCTTGGGTCTCTCAGCCATAATGTGCTTGTGGACACCAAATGTAGCCAGCCTCCTCTTGATTGTGATAGTTGAAATCTGTATTGCGAATTCCTGGCGGAGTTGCTCATATGGGATTGTTCTCTCACGTCTACTGCAGATGAGAAGCTGTCTATCATCTCTAGCAGTAGTGATTTTGGGTCTCCCATATTTGATTGCGGGTCTAACTTGACCAGTCTTCTCATACCTTGCCATGGAATGGGCAAGGGTTGACTTTGGTACTTTGAGGAGCTTAGTAATCGATGAATAAGAGCCTCCAAACCGCTTTATTCCAATTCCTTGCCATAGCACCCCATATGGCCACTCCCTCCTGCTTGTTTTGCGGTTTTGGTAGGCATGGTTGTCGTGGTTGCGTCGCGCGACGTCGTCGTCGCCGTCCTGGGTTGTGAAAAAATGGTTGCGCGTGCGCGCGCGCTGTTGCGCCCGACCCTCCCTACTGATATCGAGCTGTACATGTACTGCATACTAGTGGCTACGCCCCAAAAACCAGATATATCGCTGCTTCGGACTGAACCCGGCAGTGAAGTACTCGTAGATGTAGTTAGCTGCACGCTGAGACCAGCTCATAGGTGTTAGTGCTAAACGCATAATAAAAAATCTTCTAAAATTGGTCTGAACTCAAATCCCACCTTGAATTTCGCTAAGCATGAGGTCCCCCCCCCCCCTCTCCGGGCCGTCAACGGCCCGCCACCAACATGTACTTCTGAATTCAATTTCTAGTCGTGTGTTAGTCTATATGTATAGCTACTTTATAACCCGCGCTCCCCCGCGCTCCCGCTGGTACCCATAGAGTCCTAGAGATTGCTACTGCCATTTCCGGGATCATATCAAGAAGTATAAGCAGTGAGGTTGAGATCTTGTGACCGGCATTGACTTCAATTGAGGTTTGTTTCCGGGGGGCTGTGGTGGTGTTTTAGAATATACAGTTTATGTAAATTAAACCGAATATCAAACCTATTCGATATATCCCTTGTTAGTTCTAGATCGTTTATATAGTGGGTGTAAGGCACGGAGTTATGGTTGGTTGTATGCCATGTGCATCCCGAGAGGAACGCGGCTCTAGCTCTGGGGCCGGCAGCGGTGGTGCTTTGCGTAGTTGGTGCATCACGCCGGAGTGGTAAGGTCTGGAGTGATGTGAATTGAGTACTACTATTAAGGAGGTACATAGGTTGATGGGTGTGAGATTTATGTCTCGAAGGAAGGAGATTCGAAATGTATGTTTGTGAAGGGTTTCCCGGAGGTCACAGGAGGTTTGGTTGTTCAATGTGGGATGGTGGTGTCGGGGTACGACACCATTGCATTTGAAGGTACAGGATATCGAGAAGATGGGAAAGATAAAGACAGATCGATCGACCGCAACTAATGTCAAGGCTTGATCAATTGACATGACCAGACGCTTAAGTGAGCCCCTCAAAAAGTTTTTTTTGTTTAATTCATTAATAGCCCCTTAATTTCAACTAAGCATCTCACTCATGATCATGACATGACTGAGCTAATTAATGACCGATATAACTAGTACATGGACAGTCCACCTGAAATAGAATCGGAAGCGGGGCTTACGGCTGTAGGCTGTTCTACTTAGGGAAGTAGGTCTAGGATAATAGTATGGTGCAGCCCGATGACTGGCAATTGCAAGGTTCATGGTTACGTGTCGGAATTAGAATGGAGGAAGGAACTATGCGGGGGCGCTTTTCTATCTGGGTCATCAGCAAACCTGTAGCCTTCGCCAGACGCCCGGGGCGCTCAGGGCGCTCAGGGCGCTCGGTAGGTAAACTACCTCTCCAGAGATACCGCCAGTGCTCCTGGCGAGGTCTGGCGCACAATATTCCGCCCCAGCGCACACTAGTCCGCACAACGGGCCCCGACACTAAATAATAGCGCCCGGTGTAACTAGGACGTCACTCTACCCGCCAGAGAACGCCAGTTGCACGGTTGGATATCCTGACTGCTCCTGGAGCACTCTTCACTGCTCCAGCGGGCTCTGAGGATAGAATGATTGCCCTGACTCCCCCTGACGTTGCCGGATGGGGTGCTTTGAAATCTGGCTCATGCCCGACGTACCGATTCCTACATGTCGGCGCCCCGTTCTCTCTAGGCATACACCTCTCCGCCGTTCCGGCCTCTGGTATTCACAATTCCCCCATGAGATTACAAAAACATCACTCGCACGACGATCTCTACTGTCTCCAGAGCACTCGCGACTGCACTTTGAGAATTGGTGTATTCAACACCGTGATCCTCCGCCTAATACTAAATACAATACGCCATTTAACACCCTAACTAACCCTAATACAATATACGAATCAGAAGAAATCCCCCACTATCTCCCTTAGCACTCGTGATTGTTCTACACATCCTCCTCCCCCCCCCCTTCGTAATCCCCCGCTACAGGTAATTCCGGCTCTTCTTCTTCCTCCTCCCCCTCCTCTTCGGTGTCAATGCCGCGAAGTCGGGCATTAATCACTTCGTCCTGGGCGCTGTCGGAATCAACCCGACCTCCTGGAGCACTCGTGGGTGTTCTCCGAGCATCTCGGAATGCGGCAAGATCCGCAGCCAGAGCTTCATCGTCCTCGCTAAAACCCTCCTCCGGTATAATCTCAATCGTTACCCCTTTTTTATCTCGTATCTATTAGGGTTAGCATTTAGAATACCACTCGCATTACCGGCATCTAGAAGTATCATACCTTTTCTCGAAGGTTATCTTTGATTACCTCCAAGGTTGCCTCCTGGTTCTGTTTACTTCTCCCCTTCCAAGTGTTGCTCATCCTGTTGAACGTTTCTACTCGTGTTTGGATGTCAGTTTGGCAATCCCGCATAGCCCTAGGAGCATCCGTCATTGCTCCCAAGGCACTCGCCATATCAATGAGGGCATCGGGCCATACTTACTCACAACACTCTCATTCTGCGACTGAAAATTATCAGGCTTCACGTAACTCCCTGTTGACCACGCCCGAATGCCGTGCCAGATCGCCGTCGATATCAGGCAAATAAGGGTAGGGGTTATCCGCTCTAGAAATTCGGGATCCCTAACCCCTCGCATTCTTACCCCATCGAAGTATTTAAAATACAATATATCGATAATTTCCGGAGCCAGGAAGCGCAGTCGGTAGGTCTAGAATCTGTTACCGGCTATCCCGAGTGCTCTCTGGGCATCCACTGGCATCATACCTCGTAATGCTGTTGGGGGCTCAAGAAACGATCATTCTTCAAAAGGTATTCCACTTGAGCCGCCCTCGCCTCAGGCCCCACAAAATCTCCAAGCCCATATATCGTAGAGTCCGCCAGGCGCCCTTTCACCTCGTGCATCAAATGGGAACGGACACGGGAGTGCAGACTTCTGACCTATCATTCTCAATTATGCTTCCAGAGCACTCGTAATCCTTTTGGGGGCACTCACCTGTTTAATAACGACCTCATCAAGGTCTACTCTACACCCCACTCGGCGACTAGCAGTTGCCCACATGCTCACTACCAGTACCGAAAGTCTTGCTGCAGGTGGAAAGGGCTCATGTAGAAGAGTATGCTCCCCGATTAACACGCTACACTCCTTCTCAATCCTCTGAGCCTGCACTGACAGCACATTTGCACTCCTAGAGTTAGGGACCACAGACCTCTGAGTCAATTGGCTCGAAGGAATGTCGCCAGTGTTCTCAAAGACGTCGTGAGTGTCCTCCGGAATACTAACCTCGCTTCCCGGAATCAAAATACCCTCGCTTTCCGGCATCGGAGTACTCTCGTCCTCCTTCCTAGATGAGGGAAGGTACTCGATTTCGTAGACTCTTCGCGATCTACCTTGACCGTGAAGTTGGCTTGAAGGAATCTGACGACTGCTTACAGAGTTCTCGCCAATTACCTCGCTAGGCGGTGAAGAACGATATGTCCGGTAAGTGGGGGACGACTCCCCGTATCGAGAGCGCATCGAGGAAAAATCGACATGGCGCGTAGAAGAGGTATACTCATGAGCATAAACAGGTGCAGAGGGCCTAGACTGTGAGGGTGTTGGGGGTGCTCTCTGGGATGCCGGGAGTGCTCTCTGGGATGCATTCTGGCTGGGTGCTGAAGTGGGTGCTGCTCTCCCTTGACCTTGTTACGTATTACTTTCGCGCCCGGTCGAGTTCCCCTCTGAATCGTTAGCACTAATACTTACATGTTAAAAAGCATCAATGAGCGAGATAGAGTCGACCTGTACCACGTCACCGACACGTTGGAAGAAGCAATGACCTCCGCTACGCGCCAGTTGGTTTCCTCCGAGCATTGCCCAGTGCTCTGGCAGTAGTCGGCTGAACTGTATGAGGTCTCTTTCGACAGTCTGAGACTTCTGGGTGTAAGATGGGGGGGGGCTTGAGGTTCTCCTCTCCTCAGAGCTCTCGTGGTCATTCTCCGGAGCATCATCATAGTCTGAGTGGCTAGTATCAACTATTTCTTTCACATTGGCGCCTCAATTTGCCTCTGGCCCTCAATTGCCTCAGGCTCCTCCTGCGCTTCAAATTATCAGTATGATCCGGGAGATGAATTCTACCCTCTAGGACTGCTCCTCCAGTGGGGTTTCGGAGGAACGGAGAAGACCTTTCCGAGTTATTTTGAGCGGCGGTGGTCGATTGACTACCGAGTGCGGGCTGGCAGTGGAGTCAATGTTCGGTAAGATATTTCAGACTCGTCAGTCAGTAAATCTTCATGTTCTTCAGGTCGTTTTGGGAGTCGTGGGCGCTTTGGGGCAAGAGGTGCTGAACCGGAGGAGCGCTTGGTGGGAGCCATTCTGATGACTGGCAGGAATATCCGCAGTGCTCTAGGAGCACTCGCGATATCTTCGATTAGAAATCAATTCTTGGCGAGAAAATTTGCGCCGCTAATCAAGAAAAATTTGCACCGCTAATCCTCTTACGGTAGGGATCATCCTATGTTACCACAATTTCTGCACTCAACCGCATCATTTATCATCACTCGTTTTACTGCACTTTCTGAAGCGGTACCGAGTGCTCTGAGAGCAATCTAGGAGTTTTGATTCGACTTTTGAAAAAAAGCAATGCAATTACTACCTGGAATAATCTAATCTAATCTAATCCCATCTAATCCTATCCGATATAACCCATCCATTGATATACTCTCGCAAGACAAAGGGAAATCCAAAACACCAATCGTACCGCACCTCAATAGCTATCGCGATGCTCAGGGAGTAATCCTAACAACTATTAAAAGGTTAGTGACAATTCCGCAGGAAGGGAAGTTAGAGATTTACCAAAGGGAACTAATGATGCCATCACCACCATCACCACCATCACCACACCACCA